TTAATTTATGGACAATAGCTAATAATTTCATTGGATAGTCCGGGATATGGGAAGAATAAGATTGGAGAATTAGTGATAAAAAAAGATTAGAGCAAAGACCAATCTAGACTTTTAGAGTATTCTATAGTTGAGAAAGTTTGTGTCCCATGTTAATACACAAAAAGACTGACACCTTATACAGAAAGTTTTCAGTAGATGGTTGGACGAGATAACCTGCCATGTGGATTTGTTAACCTCTTTCGATAGCTATGCAGTAATTATTGAATTATAAATACATATAAATATAAGTAAATATACATAAATAGCTCATGAGAAAAAGTGGTCATTGTTTCAGAGTTTATGCATGAGCTTAACAACTTAGACTTCCTCTCCCCCAGATGTCTGGAAATTACTTCTGCTGAGTGCCCAGTTTGAAAGCAACACTGAACAAACATGAGCCCTGCCATATGGTCCCATACCCCAAAAGGAATAACCAGCCACCTGATGGCAGGTTAATTACATAGGGCCTCTTCCAACATGGTGAGTGTTGGAATCTGTCCTCTCTGAAATTGATACATTCTAGATATAGATTTGTCTGTCTTGTCTACCGAGTTTCTGCCAGCAACACCATCTGTGGACTTACCAAATGCTCACTTGCTGTCACTATAATTCACATAACATCACTTCCAACTAGGGATCTTATTTTATAGCAAAATTATTAGGACAGTAGGTTGATGCATTTACAAAGCATTAAGATTTCCAACCAGAAGCAACTGGATTTATAAATCAGTGAAATCACTTGTTATAGGTTTAGTTTTGGTACCTATCAGGAGATACCTTACGAAGTCGAGATGACATCTTGTAGAATACAGTATATCTATAAAATAGTAACCAATGCATAGTGTTTTTTCAGCCATGGTCAGAACATATGAGCTTAGAAACCAAGAAGTGAAAATGGGAGTGACACTTCTCACTATTCCCTTAATGGCCCACTAATAATAAATTTTAATTCACATCCTTGCCACTTTCAACTACATTGGTTTAAGGATCTTAGTACTCAAGGAAGGAATACTTTCACCAAGAGACACAACAGGGTCTCAAACCACTTAACAAAGCAGACAAGAAGATTCCTATGTTGGCTGCAGGGTTAAGCATGTTTAAAAAATAATAATTACTGCTATACAATGTAAACATGAAATAATATTTCTTTAACACAAGGATTTCCATAGGGTGCTCCTTAGTATTTCCGTGTGCATTAGCAAATATTAATGGAAAGCTAGAGCACCCTCATAGATACAGAAACACCAAGGGCTCAAACCATAAGGAATAAGATTCCTAAGTAAAGAACCCCAGTTAACTGAGCTAATACTAAGCTAAAGATAAAAGTAATATGGAATGGTTAGTTGTTGATGAAGAAAGCTATACACATCAACTAAAGACAATATGCAGAAAATATAACAGATTTTCTGTTTTATCCTTGCTTTATTTAGTACATTTTGATAGTATTTACTTTACAATTTAGTCCACATATTAAAAATATCAAGGCAGAACTGAGGAAACATAACCATCATTACATATATTAGACCTAAAAAAGACTGTACTAAATAAAGAATCTTAGAGTCTCTTTATCTGGGAAGAGGGCAAAGATGTCGTTTATATGAGAAATTGTCACTTTATTGGGTGGGAACATAGTTTTTGTTGCTATTGTGGTTTTAAGTCTGGAAAATGGATATATGTCCAGATAAACGGTGACATCTGTTTTTCTTGACTGCTCAAAACATTTTCAATACTCATCTTGCTTTTGATTGTTTCTTATTTTGCAAATCTTATTTTCCCAGGTGGAATCCCAGAAACTACATCCTTACAGATTGCTTTACAAACAGCACAAACAATGTTATCTGGTTTCTGCCATGTGGGAAAATAGGATCTGCATGGGGAATTCATTTTTCGATGGCGTGAATGGCACCAGAGGTAGAGGCAGAGATGGAGGCCCTCCTTGGAACTGATCTGTGGCGTGGTTCTGGAGTTCATGGTGGTGATAAACCACAGCTCCCCCATTAGTCCAGTTCTGTGGTGTACCTCAAGATATCTTTCCTGGAAGCTTAATTTATTTTTCCAGCTCTTCCTGTGTAAGGAACCCTATGGTTTACCATTTGAACTAAGACACATTTGGGAGGGGAAGGGGCTGCTATTAATAATGTCAAGGTTAAACTAGAATTACACTGAACAGATGGGACACGTAGTAACTCCAATGCTGTGATTTACCTCATACATTTTGCTGATGGAATTAGTCAGAATAGACTTGTTTTTTACTAAGAACCCTAACCAAAATACCATTGGATTTTTAAGAGCATAAAATGAGTTAACAATATAAGTGGACCCCGTGTACTATTATTGTATCTATATAATGCAAGGGAGAATGTTCTGTTCTACAAATTCATAAAGCAAGTTCAAATTAATTCAAATCCATGGTATCTATTATATCAATATTAGTTGACTTAACGTAACCATATGCTGGTTGCCTAAAGAACCATGACTTACACTGTTGTTATATGTCCTTAATGCAGCCTAGGGAATGGAAATAAAGATTCTTGTAATGTTCTTATAAATAGTGACTCACTAACATGTAGGTGAGTTAAGGTTGTTAAATGCAATCCTACTAGGATAGAATATATACTTTAAGAAATCTTTAAGCCACTTTCCATGTTAGAATTGTCATTATCTAATTTCTACATACGTTGTTATTTTCTGCTATAGACATATAGCTATAGGCATATTGTTACATGCTATAAATGTAAGTATTTGTGCTATCATACTACTAATGTCAGAAATCCAAGAAGAAAAAGCATCAGTCTCACTCATCATTCCAGGGTCTTGATTCAAAAAATAATACTGAACAGTTACTGGCACTTCACTTACTCATTGAGCAATTCATATAGGCACCAGGCTAGCAGCTGAGAAGATCATGACGAGCAAAACAGACATGATCCTAGAGACATGATTCTAGGTTTCTCAAACAGGAAATGCAGCAATCAAATCATAATACAAATAAATAAATGGTTACAAATTGAAATCAGGGCGGCGAAGGCAATGTATAGGATGCTCCTGAGCCCCAGAGTAAGTGGGGAGTCAGGGAAGAGCTTTCTGAGGAAGTGGCATTTGGACGGACACCTGAAAATGATGAGACAAAAACTGAAAGTGGAAGTTTGTGTGGGAGAAGAGGCAGCTCTAGACACAGAGAAAGCACATCAAAGGCTATGAAGCTTACCTGGGTGTGGATTTCTGTTCAAAGCACTGAACTGGAGACCTGTGCGGGTAGAGCTGAGAATGAGGGCGAGTGGCACCTCGGGGACACTCGACACAGTAGCCACCCACCCCTACAAGGGCCTGGGGAGATGAACAGGAAGGAGGCCTCGCCCAAGACCCCTCTCCTATGCTGGGGCACTGGGTAGGTCAGTAACAGCCTTCAACAGAATACCAGGAACTAGTGCAGTAATTCTACCTGAAATTATAAAAAGCAGAGAGAGGAGCGAGACACTCACACCAAAGTCCTTGTGGGAAAGCCAAAAATTAGGAGTCCAGACAAAACCATCAACACCAAAAAGATGACTCTTTAGAACAAGATGACAGACTGAAACAAATACTACCTATCCTCTTTTTCCCAAATTCCTTAGTCTATGGGGGGAAAAGATTAACTTTCACTTATAAAGGATAATTGTGCTGAAAAACCAACCAAAATAATTATACCATCACCTAACCAGAAATTCGAGGAAGAAATAAGCAAATGGGAAATTGAAGGGGAGTAAGAGCCAGTAAATCCCAAACAAAATAAACAAAAACTCCACCCAGCCTAAAACGCAAACAGGAGAGGAGTATTTAAGTGAATTTGCAGTTTATAAAAATTGTTTCTAATCAAAATCACCATTGAAGAGAGCTTTATTCACACTGCCCTCATTTGTATATTTAAATGTAGTGCGATATGCATGTATTATGTTGGGAATCATTTCAGGAGGCCCAGGTCTGCTAGGGGCTTAGAACACCTGGAAAAACAGCCTGAGAAATTGATCTCCAATTCATCCATTCTTACAGTAAGCACTCAGGAATGTGCTGGGGTGGTCACGAGTCAGTTTGCATCTGGTGAGCATTAGAATCTTAACCAAAGTCTCCAGAACAGTTGAGAGTGATCAAAAGGGAGTGAAAACCTCTGAGTAATGGCAAAAAGACCTCTTAAAAACCTTTAAGAGTTCTCTTCGTCAACAGGGGGTGCTACTAGCAGCAAGACACCTTGTGGCAGACGACAGTGCATACACTGTCACTCCAACAAGGAGATTGCTGTTGTGCCTTTTGCCCCCAGAAGTGTCCTGATGGAGCAGCAACTTATATCTTTTCTACTCCCAGTTAAGGAAGATGTGTTGCGTACCTGAAATTGTGTTGTCTTCCAGTCAATACAATCATCTTTATAAAACTGCACGATTACCTATTTAAAAAAAAAAATAAATGAAAAACTATCCCTGAAAAGCTCTTGAGAAGGGGCCACATTGCAAACGATCAAAATATCTCAGAAGCACCCAGCACACGTGATGTTTCCTTGTTGGAACATTATATTTCTTTGGTTAAACACCTTACATTTAGAAGCCATGCTACAAAAAAAAAGCCATACCTCTAAGCACTATCGTCACAATAAATGTAGTGAATGCTTTTAGGACAAGACGCGCGTGGATGCCAAATATGGTGGAAAGAACAACAGACACACATCTCCCATCTGAGATTTGCATGTTCTGGGACAAACCTGATTGAACAGAATGACAGGCAAAATCATCTATCATACTTAAAATTTTGTTTTTATGTTTCTCCTGTAATGTTTTGGAATTCTGAAAAATTAAGTATGAATATAATATAACTCCGCTGCAAAAATAAGACCATTCCAGATATACTGGATGTTTAGAGGCAAGAAAAATAAAAAGCGGAGTAACTTCAGCACAATTGTCAGAGTAATTCATTAAATTGTGGTCTTTGGGTCTCTTGCTGCAGCAACGCGAGTGGGAGCATCAGGCGCCGGCTCGGAGCGCAACTCCACGGATCGCTTTAAGAAAATGGCAGACAAGCCGGATATGGGGGAAATCGCCAGCTTCGATAAGGCCAAGCTGAAGAAAACGGAGACGCAGGAGAAGAACACCTTGCCGACCAAAGAGACCATTGAGCAGGAGAAGCGGAGTGAAATTTCCTAAGAACCTAAAGGATTCCCCACCCCCGTCATCTTCGAGACACCCCAGTCGTGATGTGGAGGAAGAAGAGCCACCTGCAAGATGGACACGAGCGACAAGCTGCGCTGTGAACCCGGGCACTCCGTGCCGACACCACCGGCCTGCGGGTCTCTGAGGGGACCCCCCCCAATCGGACTGCCAAATTCTCCGGTTTGCCCTGGGATATTATAGCAAATTATTTGTATGTTTAATGAAAATAAAACACACCTCGTGGCAAAAAAAAAAAAAATTGTGGTCTTTGGATAAGCCATACGAGTCAGCTTTTCCTCTTCCCCTGAAAGTGGGAAAGGGGAGCTACTCTGTTTGCCCCTCTACCACCACCACCAAAAGCAAACAATCTGCCTAGTGTACGAATGCAATGAGTGTTGGAGCCAGAGAAAGAAGAAAAACAATGAAGTTACTCCAAACCTCCATTTTGACAGGAGAGAAAGAAAGAGAAAAAAAAAGGAATAGATAAATCAGGTACTTGTCTCCAGTACAGAATTTTCAGATTTTGTTCTCTAAGGTGGGTTTTCTGACCCAAGAAGATGTAATTGGGACCAGAAAAGCAGTGAAGAATGCCAGATATTTCAAGTTGCCCAAAAATGATAGGGAACCCTACCCTCAAATCCAAAATCAAGCTATTCACAGACCCTGCCTAATCATATGCCCTGCCCAATCCTCAAAGAGCACTGAGAACCACTAAACATTTGGGAAAACACTTACCAAAAATCAACCTAAGGAAAATTACCTGTCAAACAAATAAAAAATCTTCTAAGTTGAAATATGTCCTTAGCAATGTCTGGATATCTAATGCTGCATAACAAACTACCAACCTGTGGCTAAACACAAGCATTTTACTCTATTTCACCATTTTGTGAGTCAGGAAATTGGGCAAGTGTCAGTGGGATGATTTTCCAATTCCTTGTGTCATCAACTGAGGTCACTTGATCATATGCAGCCAGCAGAAAAACGGGGCTAAAGTTTCCAAGACAGATTTATTCAATGCTTGGTGGGGGTGGCTGGAAGAAGGGACTTAGTTGGAACTGTCAACCAGAAACCTACAAGTTGACTCTCAACATGGCAGCCTCAGAGTGGTAGAACTTCTTACATGATGGCTGGCTTCCCCAGAGCAACTATTCCAAGAAACCCAAGTGAAAGAGTCTTAGGACCTAGGGTTTCTCAGAAATCCAAGACTATCGCTTCTGCCCACATATGAATGGTCAAGCATAACTAAGGCCACACCAGATTCAAAGGTAGAGAATGAGAGTCCACCTCTCACTGGAAGGAATAGCAAAGAATCTGTGACCATGTTGAATCTACCACAGATGGGTAATTTCCACTTATGGCCATGATGGAATATATGCAAGGTCAATATACAAAATTCACTTGCATTTACATATACTAGCAACAAATAATGGGAAAATGAAATGTAAATAATATCATTTAAGGTAGCATTGAAACACAAAAGATACTTAACAAAGTATATGCAAAACCTGTATTTTGAAAACTATAAAACACTGCTAAGAGAAATTAGTGAAACCCTAAATAAATAGAAAGATATACCATATTTCATGGCTTGCAAGACACTAAATACAGTTATGATGTAAATTCTCCCCAAAGTTATTTATAAATTTAATGTAATCTCAATCAAAATTTTAGCAGATTTTTTTTGCATAAATTGGCATACTGATTCTAAACTTACATGGAAATGCAAAAGACCAAGAATAACCAAAACTATTTTGAAAAATTAAATTGGAGGACATACACTACCTGATTTCCAGACTTACTACAAAGCAAAAGTATGATATTGGCATAAAGACAGACATATAGATTAATAAAACAAAATTGAAAGTCCAGAAATAGACCTAAACATATATGATCAGTTCAATTTTTACAAACGTGCCAAAGTAATTCAATAGGGAAAGAATTGTCTTTTCAGCAAGTTTGCTGAAGCAACTGGATACCTATGTTTCCAATTGTGGCAGGGGGGAGAACCTTGAATAATTTGTTGCATCATACACCAAAAGCACTAACCATAGAAGAAAAAAATTATAAATACTTCATGAAAATTAAAATTTTCTATTCTTCCAAAGATAGTACTTTTCAGAAAACACCAAGAAATAAGAAAATAAATAGTTAAGCCACAGATAAGGGAAACCTATCTGCAACACATATAAAGGTCTTGCAACCAGAATCCTTATGAATCAATAAGAAGACAAACGACTCAATTTAAAAATGGGCACAAAGATTTGAACAGGTATCCCAAGGAAGACATATGAATGTCCACAAAGCACACAGAAAAATACACTACATCATTACACATTTGGAAAATGCACACTTAAATTATAATGACATACATGCCTATTAGAATGGCAAAAATTTTAAAGCCTGGAAAATAACAAATGTTGATGGGGATGTAGAGCAAATGTAACACCCATACATTGCTGGTAGGTATGCAAAATAGTAGAGCTACTTTGGAGTACCATTTGGTAGATTCTTACGTTTGTTTGTTTTAAAGATTTTTTATTTATTTATTTGACAGAGAGAGAGACAGCAAGAGCAGGAACACAAGTAGGAGGAGTGGGAGAGGGAGAAGCAGGCTTCCCATGGAGCAGGGAGCCCAATGCGGGGCTTGATCCCAGGACCCTGGGATCATGACCTGAGCCGAAGGCAGACGCTCAAGGACTGAGCCACCCAGGCGCCCTTCATTTGGTAGATTCTTATGAAGTTAAACATATATTTAACATCAACCTAGCAATTTCATTCGTTGGTATTAACCTAAGAGACATAAAAGCGTATGTCCACAAAAAGCGTATGTCCACACAAAGACTTGCAAATGAATGTTCATAGCTTCATTCATAATAACCTCAAACGGGAAACAACCCAAATGCTCTTCCACTGGTAAGGTGATAAATAAATTGTGACATATCCATATGATGGAATACTACTCAGGACTAAAAAGAAGCAAATTACTGCTATATACAACAACATAGAGGGATCACACAGGCATTATGATTAGCAAAAAAAAAAAAAAAAGCCAGATATAAAAGACTACATATTATATGACTCTATTTATATAAAGTTCTAGAATGTGCAAAACTAATCTATAGTGATAAATTGCAGATAAATGGTTGCCTGGCATGAGGAGAATGGGGGAGTATTTTCTATGCCAAGGCACAATGAAACTTGGAAGTGATGAAGATGTTCTATATCTGGATTGGAGTAGTATATATTCTATACACGTGAGTGTATACATTTGTCAAAACCCATCTACTTAAAATTGGACTATTTTGTTGTATGTACATCATACCCCTATTAAGTTGATTTTTAAAAAACAAAAACCTTGGGGTTCCTGGGTGGCTCAGTTGGTTAAATGTCTGACTCTTGATTTTGGCTCAGGTCATGATCTGAGGGTCCTGAGATCGAGCCCCACATCAGACTCTGCACCGGGTGTGGAGCCTGCTTAAGATGTTCTCTCTTACCCCCCCTCCAAAAAAGAACCAAAAAAACCATCTTTATTTTATAAATGAGAAAAGTATCTCTGAAATTAAAAGGTCAATAGGTGCGATAAATATGGAATATAGACTCAGTTAAAGATCAAATCAGTAAACTAAAAGATCAAAAGCAATGTTTCTTAGCCCAAAAGGTCAGGCAATCTCAAATATTATAGAGTAGTAGGATATTTCGGAAAACTGAAATGTTCCAGCAGTCATCAACAGAAGTCCTAGAAAGAGGAAATAAAGAGGAAGATTTTTTTATAGAAGGAAGATACAATTTCCCAGAGCTGAAGAAAAGTCAAGAGGCTTCACATGATGAGTAGCACTGGCTGTGGAGAAATCAGGACAAATGAAAAAAAAATTTTTTTTAATTCCAACATAAATACTGGTGAAATTTTAGGATTCTCAGGAAAACAAGAAAATCCTCAATTTAGACACCAGACAACCTACAAAGGAACAAGGATCGATTGGAATCAGATTTCACATTGGCAACACTGATTGTTAGAAGACAATAATGTCTTTAGTATTCTGAGAAAAAAATTATTCGTAGTCTAAACTTTTGAACCAAGTCAAACCAGCATCTACATATGAAGGTAGAATAAAGATATTTTCAGACACACAAGAACTCAGAAAAGTCACCCTCCTGAGGCTTTTGTGGAATACCTCAGATCTTTCCACTGATTTCCATCTCTACTTGATTTACTGCCTAGTCTCTGCATCTGGTCCTGATCTGTCCCAAATCTGTTTCACTCTGAAGCTGGGACAATGTTTTGAAAACGGCAAATCTCATCAATTACTCCTCTAGTAAAACCCTTCACTGAATTTCTTCTCCACACTCATCTCCAGCCACTTTCCTTTTCCTCCAGCTACTTCTCGTCTCCTGGGAGACCTTCCTTCTCCCTTATTTCTCTCTGAGCTATAGTCTCTGAGTTTCTAGAATGTACCATGTACCCTCCTGATTATTTTTGCTGGGGAATGCTCTTCCCTTGCCTCATTCCTCATCTTCCTTCAGGCCTTTCTTGGTTTTGACATTATTTCCTCAGAAAAGTGTTCCTTGGATCCTCACTCCCACACTTACCCCTCCAGCAGATTAGATTTGATTCCTTTGTTCATGACCCTAACAGTACTTATATTTTTACTTATAATTATAGTAATTACATGATACAGCTATAACTAAATATGTATTTGCAAACTGTTTGTTTAATGTCTTTTTTCCCCCCAATAAGCAGTAAACTCTATAGATGTGATCTCATTTTTCCCACAGCTCTGTGGGTAAGGATGCTGCCCATCCCTAATATTTGTTCTTCCCTCCACGAGGAACAGACTAGATTTTCCAGTCTCCCTTGGCTATGTGTCCAGGTTCCGGCCAATGGGGTATGAGCACAACCTGTGGATTGTACACTTAAAGGGAACAGGTTTGATCTTCACTTCCCCATTTCACCTTCTTGCTTGCTAGTAAACCAGCATAAACCTTACTAAGGTCAAATTCTTAGAGACAGATAATCAACAAGGTAGGAACAAGTGTCCCTGACTCTGAGGGGCCCCCTCATACCAATCCTGGAATGATATTCTTGGACTGTTACATGAATGAAAAAGGAAAAATACTCCAGATGAGATTACCAGAACCCAGTCTGAAAAATACTACTCCTTCCCCCAAACAAGGAACTCTAGAATTGCCTCTCGTTTCACTTATGATTTCTTACACACTTTCTCCTTTCACTGATGGGTACCAGAAATATTTATTATATTC